GATGAGGACTCGGATGACGACACCGATTTTGAGTCATCTTCTTCATCCCATATGTTTTTGACGACATAAGTGGATGGGACAAGACTTTAGAGGAAGTAGAAAACGATGGAATTAAAATGTGGGATGGCAATCCGTTGACGCTAGGCCTTGATATACATTTCGCCAACAAGCCCGAGGCACAAGCGCAGTGGGAGAATGGAACTTGGTACATGGTCGGACTTTCCGGGTGAAAACGAGCTCTAAACGAACATGGTATGTCGAATGCGAGACTGTGGACCTAAATATCCGAAAGAGCGCCTTCACGGCTATGATTGTCTGTGGAAGGCGCGAGTTTCGCTCTGAAGGCCACCGATACTTGGAAAATGGTGGTATGGTCCGATTCCCACAATCTGTCTTGGGGCAAACAAGAGAAACGAGTCCCGAAATGTCACGTCTTCTATGATTGCTAGACTGGTTGCCCAAAATGTGCGAAAACATCCAGATTTTGCGGTTGCCCAAATTCAAATAGAAGTGATGAAGAGGTACCAAGTCGAATGTAGCTACAAGAAGGCATGGCATGGTAGAAGAAAAGCACTTGAGGCTCTGTATGGTACATGGGAAAGTAATTTTCAACAATTGCCCAGCTTCCTCGATGCATTGTTCATGTCAAACCGGACACTTGTGTGCAATTCAAGTTTAAGGAAAATTCGGGAAGCTCACAAAGGTTTGTATGTAGGTATGTTTTCGGGCATTTGGGCCATCTATACGCTTATTTCATGCTTGTTGGCCAATAATAACCATCGATGCCACTCACTGCGAGGATCCTACAAAGGAAAACTAATTGTGGCATGCGTAAAGTGCGCAAATGGCACGATTGTTCCCATCGCATTTGCTCTTGTGGACGAAGAGACTATACACACTGGAAATGGTTTTGAAGTATTTGAAAAGTTTGTTCTACAGGATAGGAAGACCTGTATTATCTCTGATTGAAATCAGGGTATCCTTACTGTCATGGACATCATGTTGCAAAAATTCCCAGAGATGGGCGTCCACCGTTATTGTCTAGAGCATGTTAAAGCAAACTTGGTTGGGCATTTTCGAAAGGAGAAACTGCGAGGCAACTGTCAAATGATTGGTTCAGCGACGCAAAAGACAAGGTTCTTGGCGAGTGGCAAAAATTAGAAGAAAAAATGAGCCTCGCTGCTCGTTGGCTTGAAGTGGGTGTTGAGAAATGGACCTGTTTACACGATGGAGGGCATCGTTGGGGAGAAATGACCACTAACATCTCAGAGAGTTTCAATAATGTGCTGAAAGGTGCTAGATTCTTCCCGATCACAGCATTGATCCTAGCATCCTTTCGTAAAAGCAACAACTGCTTTGTGCAAACATTGATATGATCCAAAAATGTCGACTGTTCTACCTCCTACTCCAATGAAACCGTATGAAGAGGCCGGAAGAAATCATTGAGGCAAAGGTCAACCGGTTTAGCAAGAGAAACCGAGTACGAAGTGGTTACAATAGCACCGATAATCAACCATGGAAGGCCGACGAGAAGCAAGTTGTGCTGTATGCAAATCGAGAGTGCACTTGCGGAAGGTGGCGACTTTCAGATTTCCTTGTTCCCATGCACTTCGAGTTGCCCGTGAGCTAGGTGACGATCCCTTCCCACTTTTTGATCCATGTTACACTACGCATCAATGGTACCAACAGTTTTCGGAGAATTCAACCCAATCATGGAACCATGGCCAAAGGCAACGTGGCGGATCGGGCCGATGACACTAAACTTGTCCACCATCTGGCCGAGGTCGGAAGCGTGTGAATCGGAAAAAGGTGTGATGGATTATACAAGCAAATCTGGCCAGCGAAGACTCCAAACTTGCAGTTTATGTAAGCTACAAGGCCATAATGCCAGGGCTTGCCCATATGCGAGAGTTTGCGCACGATGTAGAAGTTTAGATCATGATCTTTGTCGAATGCCCTTTTTCTCATCCACTGCCGACAGACCGGTATTGATAAACTGTATGATCCATATGGAATTCATGGTGTGCCTAATATCAATTTGATGATGATGATGATGAAGCGTAGTGATTATTCTGTTAGTGTTCGTATTTTTGTGTTGTTTTGAACATTCATGTAGTAAACCTCAGAGGATGATTCAGTTTGCGTTTGTATTTGTTTTAGTGTGTTGGTTTGGATGTTTCTGTAATTTATATTAGTAATGTTTTTGTAAAACCGAAACGTCGCAGTTCATTTTAGTAATATTATTAATTATTACTATAGGATATATACATGTCGAATAAAGCACTAGTTATTTGATAAACACTAAAGGTAAGAAAATTAGTTATTTGTCATCACCAAAATTAATATAACCATATATCCGGCTTAAAGAATAAACGACTAAAATTTTAAATTGGGGGAGTATTATTCTCGCGTTTGTGAAACGCAAAAAAAGGGGGAGTATTTTTCTCGCCTTTCTGAAACGCGAAAATAGGGAGGGCATTATTTTCGCGTTTCTGAAACGCGATTTTGTTTAAAGATTGGTTGTTTCGCGTTTTAGAAACGCGAAAATGGGTGCTTAAATTAAATTTTCGCGTTTCGGGTTGATGTTTCTCAAACAGAACCATATATCCGGCGTAATCCATTGAAACCGGCGGTTTTTCCGGGAGAGTTGCCGGAATTGTTTCGGCATCAATTTTTTGCATTTTGTAGGCTATATATCGAGGTAAGTTGTGTTTTTTGCTCTGATTTAATCTTTCTTTTTAATTCATGTTTTAATTTTCGATTCCTATAAATTTTGTGTTCGTTTTATTTGTAATTTTATTTCCCGATTTAATGAACCGTTAATAGATCTAGTATTATAGGTGTTGTAATTGTGGAATTTTTTAAAAAATTCGGGTTTGGGTTGGGTGAAAAAAATTCCGGGAGAATGAATGGGAGGGGGGGCGGCGGCGGAATGAAGGGGAGGGTGGGGGCGCGGCGGAATGAAGGGGAGGGTGGGGGCGGCGGCGGAATGAAGGGGAGGGTGGGGGCGCGGCGGAATGAAGGGGAGGGGGGGGGGGCGGCGGAATGAAGGGGAGGGTGGGGGAATGAAGGGGGGGGGGCGGCGGAATGAAGGGGAGGGGGCGGGGAATGCAGGGGTGTAGAGAGGGGGGTAGGTTTAGGGTTTATGGTTGGGCTTAGGGTTTGTGGGGTGTTGGGCTTAGGGGGTTTAGGGTTTGGGGGATTGGGTTGGGTTTAGAATGTGGGTTTAGGGTTTGGGGGATTGGGTTGGGTTTAGAATGTGGGTTTTGGGTTGGGGATTGGGTTGGGTTTAAAATATGAATTTTGGGTTGGGTTTAGAATGTGGGTTTTGGGTTGGGGATTGGGTTTAGGGTTTAGAATATGGGTTTTGGATAATAAAATGTAGGGTTGGAATTTTTAATGTATAGGATAATTAGATTAGAATAATAATATTAATCTGTATTTACTAAAATGTAGGGTTAAAATATTTAATAAAAGAATAATTAGATTAGAATAATAATATTAATCCGTATTTACTAAAATGTAGGTTTGGAATTTTTAATGTATAGGATAATTAGATTAGAATAATAATATTAATCTGTATTTACTAAAATGTAGGGTTAAAATATTTAATAAAAGAATAATTAGATTAGAATAATAATATTAATCCGTATTTACTAAAATGTAGGGTTAAAATATTTAATAAAAGAATAATTAGATTAGAATAAAAAAGAATAATAATATTAATTTGTACTTACTAAAACTATTTGTAAATTGTACTAGCCATGGACATTGGATCATCTTCTTCCTCCCAATCTACCTCAAAGAAGCTACGGCAGGGACCCAGAGACAGTAGTTTGTTGTTTCTCCAAAATGCCCATAGGTCACACAATATATTCCATGGTGCACAGTATGATATAGGGATTTCGGAGCCCAGGCGCGTAGATAGCGCCGCGTGGAAATTAATAAAAGATGCACCGAGGTTGACAAAGGAATATATTGAGAAATTTGGTTTTGGACCGTTCTCTAGAGTTGGGTCCATCAGATGTGACCATGCCCTGCTTACAGCTCTTGTGGAGCGATGGCGCCAGAGACCCATACATTTCATTTACCTTTTGGGAGGCTACTATCACACTCCGGGACGTCGAGGTTCTTTTGGGCCTTCGGGTTGATGGATGTCCATTCTGAGGACATCACACCACGCCTGATGGTGGTTGGGCAGCCTATTTGGAGAGGATGTTTGGATTTAGGTTCCAGACAGAGGAGTCTAGATTGACGAGTGTTTCCATCACCGAAATAAAGACTCACATAGAGAATAATCCTTTGACGGACTGTCCCCGACGATGCACACCTACAATGAGCCCGTTGTTTTGTTGGATGGCTTGTTGGCGGATTCTTGTTCTCAAACACTACGAAACAGTTTTCCTCTCGATCTTGTGCATTTTCTTCATACTCCCGAGATTTGCTCGGAGTACGGTTGGGGTAGTGCGGCACTATGTTACTTGTACGCGAAGATGTCCAGTCATCTCGCCGCTTCGCAAGGCTATTACCTGTGTGTGATTCTTCTTCGGGTATTTTATCTTTTCATTTCTCTCTAGTTTCATTTTATATTCTCCCATTATTATTGGTGATTTTAGCTAATGATTTCTTCATTCGAATTAGCTCGGGCACGGGAGCGGATTTTGACGGTTCACCCAAGATCTTGGTGGGGATCTCGATCTATCCGATTGTCCATTGGGCACGAGGTAATCTTATACATCAAACCTTCATAAATATTGACATTTTGATTTGTACTGTCATGTCTCAATTTAATGTTACTTTCTCCGTGCGAGTGGTCCCGCGAGAAAAAGTTCAAGGTATCACGCGGTTCAATTTGGCCGCGTCAGGGATCGGCTTGCGTTCTCGCAGAGTCGATGTTAGTATTCTATTCAATTAGTATAACTTATGTTTTATTCGTTTTTTTAACGGTGTCGAACTTTTAATTACACGTCTCTTACTTAATTACCATTGCGGTTTGTCGGATGTCGTACACGACTCTTTTGGGTCGTATTGCCGTGGTTTGTCTTGTGGGACAGGCATATGGCGATCTCAGACATGGCTCATCTGCGGTGATGTCGTTGCGCCACACAACCCCAGTAGGGTATTTCGCCAATTTGGTTATCACCACGGATACCCGCGACGTATTACTTCTCACTGCGGCGGAAATTTCTAGCCTGCTCAAGAGGAAGCCGTTTGGAGGATCCGATAGGAGATGGTTACAACAACTAGGGATATATCTCCAGGTTTGGAATGATCGCCACGGCCAAGTTGTGGGGACTGATGATCTTTATGTTGGCGAGCCTTCCGCAGATCCGGAGTATCTCTTGTGGTACCATCGAGTTCTTGTGAAGTATGTTACGGATCCGACGGACTCAAAATGCGAGGGTTTTCACGGTTCGCGAGACCTTGCGCCTCATGGTGAGTATTTCGCCTACAGATCCATTTGGTTCTTTTTATTAACACTCGTTGTCGATTTATGATTCTTTCTAATAAAAATTTCAGGCCACATTGATGGAGGACGTTCGTAGTCTGAGTATTATAGGCCAGCGTACTTTCGACGCGGACTCCTTTGGTTATGATCGCTTAGGCGAGATTGCCCAGGTTGCTGAGCGGGCGTTGTCCGTCAATGCAACAAATGTTGTACGTCACGATCTCGATAGGCATGTTGAGGTTCATGACATTTTGAGTCAAGAATTTGCACCTGTAGACCCGACCCAGCAACATCCACCACCCAGACCTCCGAGGCGTTCGCGCAGGTCTCAGCGTGGGCGTGGGGGGCAAGAGACAATCACAACATCTCAGCCACATCAGTCCTCCCAGCATGAGCAGTCTCATATTTCCTTCACTGGCGGTTCATCCCATCAGTCTCCACATCAGTCTCCACTCCATTCTCGACAGCATTCAGCCCATCAGTCTCCACATCATTCATCCCATCAGTCTCCACATCATTCTTCGCCGACCCAACAGGCGTTTTACCGTCCGATTATGTCTCCCCAGCACCAGCAGTCCAATTTTTCCTTCACTCAGTTTTCCTCCCCTCAGACTTCTCAGCGTCAGTTTGGAGATTCTTTTATTGACTTTTCTGGGTTTCAGCAGAGTTCGCTAGATGGCCAGTCGATACATTACACGAGTAACTTTCTTTCGAGTATGTTCGAGGGTGTTGCGGGTCAGCATCAGGCTGATAACCCAGCTGAGGTGAGCGTGAGAGTCAGGGTGAGGATGAGGCTGAGGATGAGGCTGAGGATGAGGATGAGGATGAGGCTGAGGATCCAAGACCAGGGATGATCAGTTTGAGGGTCGGGGTTATCGCGCCATGAGGAGCGGGGATCGAGTCGACTCTAGGGACTCCACCGTTGGCTGTGAGTAAAGGCCAGAGAGTGATGAAGGAGCCCGATAGATTGACTTATAGCCTTTTTCGGGCTAAAAAGCCCAAGAAGAAGTAGGGTACTAGACTTCTTATGTAGTATTATTAGACTTGTATTTTTTTTTCCCTTTTGTTCATTTCTGTTTTTTTTCCTTTTGTTATGACTTGTTTTATTTTTTTTTACCTTTTGTTATGACTTGTAGTATTTTGTTATGACTTGTATTAATATTCTTAATAGTTTGATTTCACTGCATCGTAAATACAATAATTAATATTTATAAAACACATCTTCGCCGATCAAATCGAAACACATATTTAAACTTTCTTATATTTTTTTCATAATTAATAGTTGCTTCATCTTAAGTGTTGGTAAATTAAAATAAATATTTAATAAAATTTATTCTTATTTTAAGCTTTTTCTTATATTAAAACCATCATAATTAATAAAATTAATTTGTAAATTAAATTACATCTCATTAAATCCATAAAATTACGTCATTATCATTATTGAAAATTTTTCATATAAAATTATTTTTAAAATAATGATTACATTTTTAATAAAAATTTTTAATATAATCATTATTAATTTTTTTTATATAATGTTCTAAAAAATTAATACATTATAATAACTATATCATACTTTTAATAATTTATATTTAGTATAGCTCTATTTTATTTAATGAGTATCAATTATAATATTATATTCTTATTCAAAATTTAATTTTCGTATTATTAAAATTATCAATATAATTTTCCTCTTTATAGCTCTATTCAAAATTTAATGATTAACAGTTATAATTTTAAAATTTTCTATTACCATTATTCAAATTTAATAATTTTTTTAAGTCAATTTCCCTATAACGTTTTAAACTAGTCAAATTAATCATATTTTTATGCCTATTTTCTTTTTTTATTAAATAAAATGTTTTTTTAATTGATTTCGCGTTTTCAAAACGCGAAATCTTATTGATTCAAGTTAATTAATTAGGATTATGTTAAATTAATTTTTTCTCCTTCTTTTTCGCGTTTCTGAAACGCGAAAAATATATATTCGCGTTTTCAAAACGCGATTTTGTGTTTTTAGCGTTTTCAAAACGCGGATTTTGATTTTTTCGCGTTTCTGAAGCGCGAGAAAACTATTTTTGGCCACAATTTAAACCCTAAATATATTTTGTTCTTCATTTTTTTTTCAGTTACTAATAAGTAAATTTTCCCTCCTCTTCTCCCTTGCTTCTTCCTCCCCGCCGCCATGGTCTCCTGTCCTCCGCTAATTGGATTGTTGCTTTTATCTCTGAGAGAAAATTTTTCCGATTCCGTCATCCTGGACGGCGGTGGAGGAGCTCCGATTCTAGTGGCTTTCTTCTGCGGGAACATCCAAAATCTAAATCCAAAATTGAGATTTAGGGTTCCGTCATCCTTTGATTTTTAAACACTTTTGAGTGTAGACATTCCAAAATCCAAAACCTGGTTCATCTCTCATCAATCACCATCAGCATCAGCCGACACACTGACGGGGATCCAAATCCAACAATGCGGAAGCTGACCCAATCTATACTGGGCGCCTGGGCGGAGATGATGATGATCAGGAGCAGCAAGATGACTCCTTTTTGGATGAAACCGAAGGCCTCTATTCACTCTCCCCAACCCAGGTAGTATCACCGTTTCATCCTCATCAATTAATAGTATCTCATATTCCCAAGACTTCAAAAGTTGATTGAAATTTTGAAGCTTTCGTGTTTTCTCTGCGCAAACAGAGAGTCTATGGGTTTGCTGCCTATTTTCTTGCGGGCTTGCTCTGTACATTGCTGGTACGCCCGTATGATTAATTATGACTACCCAAATACTTTAATCGTATTTATCATAGGTCTTTACTAATTTTGATGCTTCAGAAGTAAATGTATGGATTCTTCATGTTGAAGAAGGAAAGGGCCGAATTGCTAATGGTGGAAGTTTCTTTGAAAACCTGGTAGCTGGCACTCTTATAAAATCTAGAACGTGGTAGTTGGTTCACCTTACACTTTCTTGGAATTATGATCTACGAGTCTATAACTGCTTACGACTTCTTTCTAAATTTATTCTCAATCAATCTTACAGCTAATACATTTGTTTCACTCTTTTTTGTCAATTTGAACTCAACACTTTCAGCAAGTGGTTTCTGCAGAAGACCGGACATGATGGTATATTGATATTCTTTTATTCCATTTCCTTTCTTTCTGATTCCTCTTCCCACATCTCGGTTCTGGTTTGTTAATCTCTTAGCTTTCAAGTTTCTTCCTTGCTCATGACTTGTTCATTTGTTTCTAGGACTCAATAACTTAGTGATGGCTTATGATGATAAGTCTGCCTTTGCTCTTTGCATATTTTCCCTTGCTATGGAGCCCAATGTAGAGCGAATAACTTTCCTCGGAAAAACGCTGGTATGTCATCTTTTCCGTATAATGACTATTAATATGGTGTCAAACCCCAAAATATGTCCCAAATAAAAGTAGTAGACTGAAATATAGTTGTTTTAGAGAGTGGTCAGAAAAAATGTATGTCGGAAATCCAATTTCCGTTTTTCGTTGTAATGGTAATAAACCGGATTTCCAAATTCCGTTTTTGTAGAATTAGTTGTAATAAGTACTTTATAATACGCTGATTATCAAAACGGATTTTCAAATTCCGTTTTTCACTTAACAATTTATATAGAATTTTCCGAGCAACCAAACAAAAGGAAAATAATTTTTTTTCTGAAACCTAAAACGGAAATGGAAAATCCGTTCAAAAGTTGTATTACAAAACGGAATATCAATATCCGTTTTAAAGCTGTTTAGGAAAAAAAAACGGATTTGCTTTATCCGTTTTTGGACTATAAAAAAGAAAAACGGATGTTTGACATCCGTTTTTAAAGCAGTAAACAGAAAAAAAACAGAACAGGTTTGCAATTGCAAACCTGTTGAAACCTGTTAAAAAACAGTTAACAAACAGCACCAAAACAACACCAACAGCAGCCTCAACTCAAATCAAATAACCCTTGAATTCACACATTAATTCAACAAAATATTTCAATTCTAACATGTTTAAATAAAAGACTACATCACAAAATATTGATCAAAAGTAGATTATCAACAAAATGATGCCATTACAATTCCTCCTCGGGTTGGGCAGTGGATGGCGTGTAGCGATTGACTTTCTTTAGTTTTCTACGCGGCCTTGCTAACGCCAAAGGTAGACTAGATTCGACATCCATATTTGTAGATTCACCTTCTTGGTTGGCTTCGTCCTGATGATGGGGGGTTGGAGTTTGAAACAAGTCGGCATTGAGTTCAAAATCAAATTCTGGTTCTTCTTCTTCAACAATTTTCTGCCTTCCTCCTCCAATCCCACGGTGAGGAATGTTCCATTTGCGAACTTTGCCAACCGGTTGAGAAGGTTGTGGTTGAAGATCAACAAGTGATTGTGTGGGTATCAAAAATGGCATCTCATGTGCTCCAAGGGATAAAGCACTCATAGAATGAGAAGTGAGTTCAAGAAGGAGATTCGTACAAACTGAATTTTGGCAGACATCTTCTGATTTCTTGTAGTCTTCTACCATTTTGCAGATGTCGCTCAAAGCATCAGCCTAAAATCAATTTAACCATTAAAAATGTAAATAAAAAAAATAACAAACCTGAAAATTCTTTAAAAAAAAAAAGAAAGAATCCAGCTTTAAAAAATAAAAGAGAAGATCAGAGATAAAAACTAAAAGAAACCCAGATGTCCAGAACTTAATCACCAAAAAAGGAAAAACATTTCAAGAATTTTTTAACAAATTTTAGATGCATTCAAACCTACTAACGGATTGAAAAACGGGAGAAATAAATGCAAATTATTGTAAGGGAAAAAAAAAAAAACAAAGGACTAGTCAATTTAAAAAATAAGTTTACAATTTAAAAAACAAGTTTACAATTTAAAATAAAATTTAAAAATGGAACTTGAAAGCAGAAAACAACAAGATCCACAAGCACCAATATATAACCATGTAGCACTAACAACAAATCATACACAATGAAGATGCGAATGCAGTTATTCTCAAGAAAAAAAGAAACCAGCCTTAAAAAAAAAAAGAGTAGAGATAAAAAGGAAAATACTTACATAGAATTTTGCACGATCAGAATGTTCACGATACCCTTCCTCCTGAAAGTTGTACTTATTGGGATCCTTGATAAATTTGATGGTATTACTTTCATACCATGGGAGATAATCATCATCGGTTGAGGATTGAGCTCTCGGAGACCCAGCCACAATGGAGTCTGCCCTGTTGTTCCATTTTTCGATGTATTCACGATGATGTAACTCCCAATTGTTTCCACCTCTTCCAGTCCTACCATACTTGTGCAACTTTTCCCATTCTTGGAAACCAACAATCATTGGTTGTGGTGGGATGAATTGTTTGAAGCCAAATTGTCGCATCACACGGTCAACTTGATGCGGTTCAATGACATCCCAGCAAATTAGCCAAGTGTTGGATTGCCAATGATCTCGACCCCGTGTACATCTTTCAGGTATCTCCACTCCTTCATAAGGTTGCCAAATAAACTGAAAAAAAAAAACATACAATCAAGGCTGTCAGAATAGAATACAAAAGGAATGTAGACATTTTGCCAAAAGAATTTAAATACAATAGAAAATGCTTTTTTTTTTCTTTTTTCTATTGTTCTTTTTTTCTTTCTATTTTTTAAGATTACATAAAGAATGGAACAAAAAGGAAGCAATGTCCTAATTAATTGTAAGAGGCAGCTTACAAAAAGAAAAAGGAAGGTATGGCCTATTTTTGCTTTATTATAACAGATTGTTAAAAAAAAAAAAAAGAGCAATGCTTTCTTTGTACATTGTAAAGTAGCATATTAACTAAATCACATTTCTACAAAAATAGTGCAAAGCCATTTATTCATTAAGTTCAAATTCATTCAAAAAGAATTTAATTAAATATAAAATTAGAAACCCTTACATCTTCAACCTTCCTAAGGCTCGCGAGTTGATCTTGTTGTGCTGGGAGACAGTGAGAGGCCACCTGCGAAAAATCCAATGAACACCTCCATCTTGAACCCAAGGCCAAGGTGTGATCGTCATCTTCCGGATTTTTTCTGATGGGGCGAATTCTTGGGATTCGTTCATAAGCCCAAATCTGTAAATGAACACATGTTAGGTTAAAATAAAAAAAATTGTTATACATAAAAGGAAAAAATAAAGTAAATCAAATTCTACCTGCAAAAGAATCAAGCATCCACCTATATCCCATTTTGTCCTTTTTGATGCTTTACAAAGATTATTATACAACACTGCAAGACATGCACTCCCCCAACTTAGTTTTCTACAAGTCTTAAAATCCTTCAGTAAGGGCAAATAAAGCAAAGGCACAGTATTTCCGGTTGTGTCAGGAAATAGTGAACCTCCAATTGCCCACAAAACGAAAACCCGAGCCCTTTTCTGGCAAGCATCATCGGAGGCATTTGCTGGAAGTTTTCGCTTACACTCATCTGCCAGCGAAGTGATTATAAGTTGGTTGGACCCTTTTTTCAATTTGGGCGTGAATCCCAAAAGCTCCTGGCACATTGGAACCCAACTAGCTGGTGGCGAATCTTGGCCAGTTACAGGGTTTCCATCAATTCTCAGTCCCAAAAGAACTTCGACATCTTGGAGTGTAATTGTTGCTTCCCCCATTGGGAAGTGAAATGTATGTGTTTCAGGCCGCCATCTTTCAACCAATGCTGTCACCAGGGAGTTGTCTAATCGAATGAGACCCGTCTCAAGGAAGTATCCAAAACCCATGTTAGCCACGTAAGCTTTAACACAGTCATTGGACATTGCGTATAGCTCCCAAAGTAGATTATCAAATCGTCGACACTTATGGTGTTCATAAATGAATTTTGGCTCACTATTCCAAACGGCATCAGATCGATGATCACCCTGAAGATAAAGAAGTGTAGAGTCGATCGGACCCTTATTTGTGAATTTTGGGGCTTGCGAAGAAGAAGAACTAGCCATATTACTGAAAAAACCAAAAAAAGGCTATTAGAAAGGTCCACTGAGAAACTAAACAAACCAGGTTATCAAACCAGAAAATTTCAAACCAGGTTTTCTAACAGAAACTAAAATAAAAAAGCAGGTTTTCTACACTGCTTCACCAATGATCATGTCAAGTTCATATAAAAAAACCAAAAGCAGCAGCAAACATATATAAATTCTGTACTGTCTTAGATAGTAGGCAAACCAGGAAATTTCAATTATATTGTGTAACAGAAACTAAAAGAAAAAACCAAAACGAAATGCAGCAGCAGCATCAAACATAACCAAATGTCAAGAGGTTTAACAAAAACCATGTTACTGCTTCACCAAAAGCAGCAGCAAACATATATAAACAAAGTCCCGTCTTGGATAGTAGGCAAACCAGGAAATTGATAATCCAATTGTGTAACAGAAACTAAAATAAAAAACTAAAACGAAATGCAGCAGCAGCATCAAACATAACCAAATGTCAAGTTCATAACAAAAACCATGTTACTGCTTCACCAAAAGCAGCAGCAAACATATATAAACATCCTCCCGTCTTGGATAGTAGGCAAACCAGGAAATTGATAATCCAATTGTGTAACAGAAACTAAAAATAAAAACCCAAACGAAATGCAGCAGCAGCAGCAAACATATGATCATGTCAAGTTCATAAACAAAAACCATGTTACTGCTTCACCAAAAGCAACTAAAATAAAAAACCAAAACCAAAAGCAGCAGCAGCAGCAAACATAACCAAATTGTACTTACTGCAATTTGGTGGGGGCAATGCAGAGAGTTCTTGAGAAAGAGACACAGCTTCACTTGGCTCTCAAAGAATTGGAAGATTGCAAGGAACGACTCAAGAATACCGAAGCTACAAAAGCTCAAGCTCGTCGGGAACTCGACAAGGCCAATCGAACCCTCCAGGAGCTCACCAACAACAGCAAACTTCCATCAATTTGGACGGAATCATTGAGTTCCATTGCTCCAAATCACATAAAAACCCGGACAGAATCATTGAGTTCCCGGACGGAAGACGGGAAGACGGGAACGATTCCGAATTGGGACTTGGGGAAAATTAGGGCAAAATTAGGGGAAAATTCTGACTTGGGGAAAATTAGGGCAAAATCGGTGCCTTCGCAGAAACTTGGAGGAACATTAGGGGAAAATGAGAGAATCTGTGGAATTAGGGGAAAATTAGGGCAAAAATATGGTTACACCGGAGATGAGATGGTGGCCGGCCGGTGAAGAAACGGGGAGGAAGAAGCAAGAAAAAACGGGGAAAAGATGCAATTTTGTCTACATTTGCGTTTTCATAAAACGGATTACCAATATCCGTTTTAGTAAATTTACAACAAACGGATAAACTAAATCCGTTTTAAGTATAGACCGGATTTTAATAAACCGTTTTATGCGACGATGACCTGGAATCCTGTAAACGGATTTCAATAATCCGTTTTAAATAAACCAGGACAAATACAAAAATTACATTTTATTATAAATTCTTACAAATCAGAAATTCAAACAATGAAACGGATTTTTAAATTCCGTTTATGTTTGCCTTAAAACGGATGTTCAAATTCCGTTTTTAATACTGTACATGTTATTCTAAACGAAACACATATTACAAACATCCAACTAAAATAAAAATATGCTTCTTCAAAATAAAAAACCAAATTGATAATCCAAATGAGTCTTTTACACAAACAGAATCAAATATCTACTACACAAACACAAACAGAATGGAGGGATTCAGTCCTCTTCAACATTTTCGAAACCATTTGCGTCCCAGTTGACTTCCAATCTAGTCCGATCAGCTAAGCGGTGCGAACGATGACAATGCCTTGTTAAATGATCTCGACTACCGCATCTCCTACATCTTCTACGTGCACCCCTGCCCGTATAATCCATGGACATCAAGAATCGCCGCTGTTGTTGACGCCCTACGGCATTATACGGAACTAAATTGACATAATCAGGAACAAGGTTCCACCCTGGAGACACCCACTCTTCTCTTCTTGGGACGGGAACAAACCTAGAACGACGAAACTGCTCACGCCATGTGCTCGTCTTATAATATTCATGTATTATGTTTTCTGGGTGATCACCAATCCACCGACATACAGCCAATGCGTGCGAACAAGGAAGCCTGTAAGTCTGCCACTTCTTGCATGAACAACGCCAATCCCTGTATTCTACTTTGTGTTCATTACCACCTTTCCCTATACGACGCCAACCTGTAATGACCCCATACACTTGTTGCTGGAAATCATACAGCTCCACTTTGTGAGTTGCTGCTGTATTCTCATACTTGCAGAATTTCTTCCAATATTTATCTCCGATAGGAGTATTGCACTTCAAGGCATCTGCATACTGATCACGGAAGAACTTAATTGTCTTCGCCAAAGTCGATTCCACCACAGCTCTAATTGGTAAAAATCGAACACCCTTCAGAACATTGTTGTAACTCTCAGATATATTTGTTGTCAACATGCCCCAACGTGCATAATCTTGATCGTAGGCAAGACTCCACCTCTCCCTCGGTATAGCCATCATATAAGCAAGACCTGCTTCATTGCACTCTCTCAGTTGTTGCTGAAATTTTAGAAACTTGTGATTTTGCCTCTTCTTGCCCATTTTCCAGCACACCAGATTTGTTCGAGCTATTTGTTTTTTGTGTTTCGCCACCATGTTACTCCGAACATGTCGAAGACAATACCTGTGGTATCCAAAATATGGTTCAAGCCACAAATCGGCATTATTCTTCAAATGCACCGATTATCCCCTTATGCCGATCCGATATAAGACACGTGATTCGGTCGTGTACAACATGAAGCCTCAAATTACAGAGAAAAATGACCAGCTTTCCTCGCTCTCCTCATCTACAATTGCAAAAGCAATGGGCGGGATATCGTTGTTAGCGTTTTCACCATTGCTACAAGAAGCTTACCCTTGTCTCGACCGCGAAGGTGTGTGCCATCAATACTCACAACAGGTTGACACATATGGAAGGTCGCAATAGAAGGACCAAATGCCCAGAAAACATATTTGAAGACCCTATATTCATCATTTTCAGTCCCGGGCTGCCATTTCCACTCAACAACTGTGTTGGGATTAGATTTCTGTAGTGCAGCCATATACCTATCATAAATACAATAGAGTCCAATAAACAGTCCAATAATCCAAGAATTAAAACAGTGAATTATAAAAGTGTGCATTTGAAAAACCATGGCAATTCGGAATCTAATAAGTTTTAAATTTTTACCATGGCAATTCCGTGAAATTGTCGATCCAGCTACCATAACACGCTTCGATAGCTTTTCTTCTTGCATGCCATGCCTTCTTGTACTTCACATCCACCTTATAAGCTTCCTTCACAGCATCCCTGATTGATTTCACCTTAAAACCAGGATCATTTTCAACACTACGCCTGATAAGTCTGGCTATTAACTTCGACCTCAAATTGCGATGGTCATTTTGTCTGGTTATTCCAACGCAATTGTGACGATCAACCCAGGACACAATTTGCCACAGACCATTCTTCTTCAAAGATGCACGCATCCTCCACGCACAAGTAGATTGCCCAATTGGAGTTTGCATTCTTCTTGTCGCGCACTCTGAAGACCATGACTTACGTCCAGAAGAAAGAACATAAAATTGCCTGTTGTGATATATGTTCCAGTCTTCGATAGCTGCCTCAACTTCATCCCTGTTGTTGAAACAGGTATTCAAATCAAGGTTTTCTCTATCACCTTTCCACATCTTAACTTCAAATTCATCTCGATCCAGTATGCTATTTTTATAATCACCAATGTCTGAATAAACATGTTGACCAAAATCAGACGTAACTAAGTTCTGCACTGCTTCTGCTCCTGCGTCTGCTTCTTGTTCTTCATCTTCTAAGTCGGTTTCGTCAGACACATCAGTTTGGTAGTCAACTTCTTCTTCGCTTTCTACATAAGTCCCGTCTGATGCATCATCCTCATCTGATGAATCAAAGTCATCATTTTGACCCCCACCATGTCCCTCTGCAACGTATCCATCGCCGCTGCTCCTGCTAGGCCCTGCTTCTGCATGTTGAGAATTATTCATCCAATATTGCTGGTCCTGTTGCGACACAAATGTAACATCCTGTTTTTGTCCTGACAGATCTAACAAATTTTGGGCCTGCACCGTGTCTTCATTTTCAACATATAGCTCCAAATATGATGAACCTGAAAAATAATAAATAATTTCCACTGACGAGTCGTCCGTAATTGTTGCGCTTCGTCTTACACCGTTGTTTTCAAACAACAAGTTAATTCTCAGATTTACATAATTTCTATCCCAACCCGCTTTATCACAAATTCTGCCCAAAAACTCAGAATACGACAGCTTCCGCTCAATAACTAATGTCGCATCTGCCCTGTTATCAAATGTTCTGATCGTGCCATCTTCCACAACATATTTATTTCTCCAGTACACATTAATAAAATATGGACCATTCCATGCCATTTTTCTGTCAAAAATAAAATATTTCTTAAAAAAGCAGTTTCTATATTTCCATAAACAGTACAATCATTTTCAAATAATAGCGTATAAATTTCCATAAATCGTCCAACATTTAAAAAACAGTACAATTTTTTCCAAATAAAACAGTCCGTATTTGGATAAACAGTCCAGCATTGTTTCATAAACAACCCAGCATTTAAAAAAAACCCAGATTTCCATAAGCAGTCCATCATTTAAACAAACAATCCAATATTTTCCTAGTTTAAATTTCCATAAACAATCCAATGTTTCAAAAAACAGTCCAAATTTCCAAATATAACTGTCCATATCGAATTTCCTAATAAATTCAATATTTTCATACTAAACATTCTAATTCGAATTTAATAAGACCAATAATTAATTAATTTAATACAATACGATTAAAGGAAACAAATAACATCAACGCTATACTAACCTGAAAGATAACAATTTTCAGCCGCAAAAAACAGATTCAAACTGCACACGTCTTCATATTTTTTTCTTCCCTTTCAAAACTTTCCAGATCTGGTAACAGTGTCAATTTTTCTTCATATATAAACCAAAAAACGGATTTTAGAATTCCGTTTTATGATTAAAGCTCTGATTCTTACAGATTATCAGTGTCAGATTATCAGTGTCAGACCAATAATGGAGCTGACAACCTGATAACAGAAAAACGGAATCCCGTTTTCCGTTTTTTAAGACATGAAAAACGGAATTGCATCTTCCGTTTTTTTATTGATAAGAAAACGGAATTCGAATTTCCGTTTAAAATTTCCCCTAATATTTCCTATCTTTTTTTTCCGAGCGAAATTGGGTTTTTCAATTTTAATTATTTTAAAATTCAAAATAAGGAAACGGAAATTGAAAGTCCGTTTTTTAAACTATAGTTAGAAAAACGGAAAATTGGTTTCCGGCAAATGTTTTCATGACCACAAAAAAAAAATTAAAATATAAATTTCTACCCTTTTTTTTTTGGGTCTATATAGGTAAATGGCCCATATAATATGGTACTGGTGTAGATGCTGCTTGATCTACAATGACCAGATGTCTCACAAATTTGAAACTAATAAATAAAGCCGATGTTTTCGTTTTGATGTTACCAAGAGTGTTTTGATTACTTAAGCTGTTCTTTGTCCACATATTCATTCATATTTTGTGTGAGATTTGGCTTTGAACAAATTTTCCTTTTTAGCTTTTCCTGTTATCCTGTGCCAATTTCAGTTGCTAGAACAAACGATTGATTTGGTTCCGTAGTGTTCTGACATGTTAACCTTGCGTTCACTATTGACGTTGTGTTCGGACATTGCTGGACTCGTAATAGGGCTACCTAATTCCAAGGCTATTGGACCTGACGGACAACATATTGATGCTTCTGAGGCGTTCTGTCTTGGTGGAATTAGCACTGGATTTTTCGACCTTCAGCCGAAACAAGGACTTGCTCTTGTAAATGGCACTGCTGTCAAACAGGTCCTCCGCACTTTTGAAATTTTAGGAGGGCTCAAATTAAGTAGGTTCTTGCGCTATATGAAGATCAAAGTCATCTTTAACCAACTCATTTGTCAATGAAAAGACAATTCTTGAGAGTTTCTTTGCCACTACTCGCTGAAGTGTAGTCCATGAAACAGAATGCAACAGAAGCCTGAAAATTAAGAAATCATTGCGTTTGTGAATGGAGGAAAGAACATAAACTAGAATAACACGAATTGATTGGCAGTGTCTTATTTGGATTCCTCCTTTCAAAAATTAAGTTTAAAATTGTTCCGAGGAAGCCCTGTGGCATGCAAAGAATGTGCAAGCAAAGAAACACGTTAAACACCAAGTTAGCAACTAGATATTGACCTTTTATGTTTTCTTTTTTATTTAATGAAATTTTGGATTTGATAAACTTTTTCAACCATTCTACCTTAGGCTTAGTGTGCCACATCTGTTCTTGTTATTATATTATATATCTATTTCATTCATCTTTGCTATTTGCTTTACAAGATCAAATTGTTTCTTCTTTTTTTTATTATTATTTTTTATGTTTAATGGGCTATATTCCATATACTTTGACGTTTTCATTTTTATGTTTAATGGGCTATATTCCAGATAATTTGACATTTTCATTTCGGACTATTAGTTTCACAAATACCTTGTCCAAAAAGAAAAAAGTATTCATTGATGTCATTGTTCAACATCAAAGTCTGTATTAATTTGGTTACAATTGGAAAAGAAAATTACTCAGAATCTGGAGCAAAATGGTAGAATGTGTTCTCACACTATAAATCAGGAAAAAAAAAATTAAAAAACGAAAGCAAAAAAGAACCAAAATTAGAAGAAAATTTGTTCACGGTCATCACAAAATAAATTTAAATTTTGATCAAGGTCAAACTTAGTTGATGGCTCTAAATTAATCAGGTTATTCCTATATTCTTCAAATGTTTTACCTTATATTAGATCCCTTTTATGTAGTGTATTATAAAAAAAAAAGAAAAAAGAGAGAAAGTAATCACGATCACTTTTTCTAATAGACTATAGATCAGAGGGAAAGCATTTTCCCCCATTAATTTATTTTTTCCTTTTCAGTTTACTTTATTCATTAACTTTTAACCATCTTAATACATTGACGCAAAAGACTTTGACTAGTGTTGCCAAAATGTTCAATATCCATAGAAAATTTGCTTGTAAAAAGTTTAAATTTTGTATTAATTGTTTGTTGAATTTAAGTATGATGAATTTTCAATGCGATCATAAGGGATTTGCATTTTTACTTTTTTACATTAAATATTGATATTGATGTTATATTTCCAATTAATTTGTTCAAATTGTTTTATAAGAACAAATCCTGTATATTTATTTATAATATACTCAATAAAAGAATCCGTGTACAGCAGTGGTAGACGAGTAAGTACATATTATTGACCTAATTATTCAGCAAAATAATATTGACATAATATTAATGTATCTTTTCAAACATGAATAATGTAAAAATATTAAGAAAAATATGATTCGAATAAGAACTGGTTCGTACTTTATGAGCAATACACTTATTAATGCAGCACCAACGGAATAGTGGGGTTCACCAACAAAGACACCAATGTTGTTAAGGGTGAACCCAAATTTTTTTTTTAACTGTCACACTTCATTTCCAATGCCACATTAAATACAGTTTTTCTAATTTCATCTTTATCTCTCTCTACTTTTAATATCATATATTGATGATAATTACCTATTCTTTTATTTCAATTGTAAATTTTTGAATAGTTTCAATAGTTTTAATTAGGGGTAAGAAAGGTAATATACTTAAAATTAAATTATTAATCATTGCTTTCTTAATACATGTGCAAACCCTAAAGCTACAGATAAAAAAAATAGAGGTAGTACAAGGAAATTCAACAATGAAATATAAATATTTTTCATAAACTTTGTATCCTATATCACCAGTCAATTAATACTACACAATTCAAGAGATATAGGTTCGAATCCAACTCCTTAACAAACAATCACATGTTAATAGATAAACTTTCAAAATAATATTAAATGTAAAAGGACTTCTTGGACACGAATAGAACATAATGTGAATTATGAACTGGTCGTACAACGTGCGTCGGGACAGGATTTGTGGATATATTTACCTCAAAAGGTTACATCAGTATTTACCTCTTCCTGTATTGCATTTCCTTCTTTGTTTTTTTTAGTACATCATCTTGCTGATGACTTAGTGTATGGATACAGTTTGGTTGCTTTAATAGTTTCTGCTGAGTTAGAAATTGACAGAATTCTGTTTACTGGAACCCGTAATGGTTTGCGGCATATTACCAGTCCTCTTCAAACTTTACACCTTCTCTTTATTCTTTGTCCATAGCTGATATACATTATGTTTAATCAACTCCAGAGCCTGAAACAAGCGAAGAGAGCCTAAAATACTTAAAGCAAATCAAGCCAAACCAAGAGGCGCATCTTTGTTGTTCCTAAGTCATGTTCTGAACCTTAGCAGCATTGTAGACATGGTTTTTGGCCAATTCTTTTGTTCCTTAATTGCACCCATGCTATGCTTTTGTCCTTTAAAATGTTTTGGTTGTTGAAGCTTGTATTATAAACATAATTGAGTGAAAAAGTTCCCGAAATTTAAGTCCTTTCAACGTTTTCTTTTCTCGGAACAAATTAGGCTGGAACATTGAACTAATATCTTTGTGATATGTTTCTTCTTCTGTGATTTTTTTGTTAAAATTCCACATGGAAATTGATGCGGCTGAAGATTGAGAAGTTAGTTTTTATTTTATTTTCGCATATTTAATTTTATTGGAGGGTGTTTTTGAACTTTGTTGGTTTTAGGGTTTTTTTCGAGTTACGGTTTTACGTTTTTTTCTTTTTAAAGTATTGTACGTAAACTTTGAGACGGCAGTTTTTATTTTCACAATTAATCAAAAACGAGAAATTCTTCTCAACCCTAGCTTTTCTGGACCATTTGTTGGTGAAAAATCTAGCAGTCGTGATCTCGCTGGACCATTTGTTGGAGGAGAGTAACGAATCGGTGTCAGTTGATAGGTTGCGCTACATCAGAAATAATGAACTAACATGAGTCCATAGATACACATGAGTACAACTCCAAATCTATACTAACATTTACAAAACGGTCATGTAATTTTCTGCGCATCGCTCAGAGTAGTTATCAACTAGTCAGAGACTAATGTAATGAAGAGGAATAGATGTAGAGAGTATAGTTGTATATCTTACATCTAAAAATGATTGACCATGTTAACCCCAAAAAAAAAAAAATTGATTGTTCATTTGAGTTTTATTTTTCTTGGTTTTAGTATAAGTTGTACAAAAAAGAATATTTTGAATTGAAAAATTAATTTAGCACAGATAGAATATAATAACAGCATTCACGTTTGGCAAAATGTAGGGGTACACGACTAGTCCCACGAGAAGACAAACTATTTTACAATGAGAGGAAAAAAACGTTAAGTAGTCCGCTTTCAACTAATAAACATGAAACCATTACTTTCAGGGAAAAAAAATGAAACCCTTATAAAGATCATAATTAGAAAATCAATCTCCTGCACCCTGAAAGCATGCAGAACATACACTTTCCAATGCATGCATGAAAACCTTAATGTCCAATCCAACTGCATGTCTTTCCAAAAGAATTTCCAGAATTTGTTTAGAATGTGATTCAAAGTTTACCATGGAAGAGTTATCATTGACTAAGTCTTGCTGCAAAAATTAGTTTTTATCTTTCTGTTGCTTGATTTTATGTTTCCGTTGCTGATTTTAGGTATGGGATAATGCCAAGATTTTTTCCTTCTGTTCAGTTGAGTTGTTATTCTGTAAAGCCTATAAAAAGGCATGTCATTTGATGAATAAATTACAGTAAGAGAAACTATCATTCTGTCATACATCTTCATTTTATATTTTTTCAGAACCTAGGTTCTATTTTTTCTCTTTTGGTCATCTGATTCCATTCCAACATTGTGGTATCAGAGCCAAGTTCGATTGGAACTGGCCGTATCACTCATGGCAGCTAACGGCAATCTCGTTAATGTGGCTCAACCGTCGATTCCCATTTTTACTGGTGAAAGCTATGAGTTTAGGTCTCAGGATCTTTGGGACTTGGTAGAGAATGGCTACTCAGAGCCTGATGATGAAGCAAGGCTGAGAGAGAACAAGAAAAAGGACTCAAAGGCGTTATTCTTCATCCAGCAGGCAGTTCATGAGTCGATCTTTTCCAAAATTGCTGTTGTAAATACGGCCAAAGAAGCATGGACAACTTTGCAGACGGCTTTCCAAGGCTCTTCAAAGGTAACTACTAAGAAACTTCAATCTCTTCGCCGTGATTTTGAAACTTTGCAAATGCAGAATGGAGAATCAGTTCAGGATTTTCTTTCAAGAGTTGGAGCAATTGTCAATCAAATGAGAGCCTATGGTGAAGATGTTGTTGATGCAACCGTCGTTGCAAAGGTACTACGGAGCTTGACTACTAAGTTTGATCATGTTGTAGCAGCCATTGAGGAGTCAAAGGACTTGGCAGTGTACTCGTTTGATGAGCTTATGGGATCATTGCAGTCCCATGAGGCGAGATTAAACTGACAAGAAGAGAAGGTTGAAGAAAAGGCTTTTCAAGTGAAGGGGGAGCAATCAGCTAGAAGAGGTCGTGGTTGTGGGGGTCGTAGTGGCCGAGAAGCTGATAGAGGCTATAGTCGAGGAGGTAGTGGTCATGAGCAAAATAATGATTCACAAACAAGTGAAATGTCAAAAGGTCGTTGGGCTAATGTTCAATGTTACTATTGCAAGGAATTTGGGCATATTAAGGCATATTGTAGAAAATTGCAGCGATCTAACTATGTCATGGAAGAAGAGGAGGAGGAAACCAAGCTTTTCATGGCATTTCAAGAAGATGCAGGTCTTGACAATGATGTTTGGTACTTGGACAATGGATGCTCTAATCACATGGCTAGAGTACGGTCTTTATTCAGAGATCTTGATGAGAATTCAAACAGAAGGTGACACTTAGAGATGGTAACCAAGTGCAAGTGGAAGGAAAAAGTTCTATAGCCTTGAGAGGTGGAAACGGTAATGTTAAACTTCTCTATAATGTCCACTTTATTCCAAGTTTATCACAAAATTTGTTGAGTATTGGGCAACTAATGGCTAGTGGATATTCTCTCTTCTTTGATGAAGACTTTTGTGTGGTTAGACATAAAAAATCAAATCAGGTTGTTTTCAATGTTAAAATGATTGGCAATAGGCTTTTTCCACTTAAAGTTTCTAATATGGAGAATGAAAGAAAATCTTGAGTCAAGATTGTGGCATCTTCGGTATGGACATTTGTATGTGAATGGTCTGAAATTGTTGAGTCGGAAAGAGATGGTTTACAGATTGCCTAAAATTGAGTCTTCGATTGCATATATGGGAAGCAATGTAAGAGATCATTCCCTACTGGTAACTCTAAAAGAGCATCTAGCATTCTTGAAATTGTGCATGCTGATTTGTGTGGTCCTATGCAGACTAAATCATTTGGTGGGAGTAGATATTTCTTGTTGTTTACAGATGATTATACTGGTATGAGTTGGGTCTATTTTTTGCAATTCAAGTCTGAGGCATTTAAAGCTTTCAAGAAGTTCAAAGCCTTTGTTGAAAAACAAAGTGGGAGTTTCTTAAAAACACTTCGCACTGATAGAGGAGGGGAATTTTTGTCTGCTGAATTCAATCAATTCTGTGAAGCACATGGTTTGCATAGGGAGCTAACTGCTCCATACACCCCGGAACAAAATGGCATGGCAGAGCGCAAAAACCGAACCGTGGTAGAGATGACAAGAAGTTTGTTAAAGTGCAAGAATTTGCCTAATGGTTTTTGGGCAGAAGGTGTTGCAACCGCTGTGTACTTGCTGAATTTATCACCAACAAAGGCTATTCAAAACCAAACACCATTTGAGGCATGGATTGGGAAAAAGCCTTGTGTAAGTCATCTAAAGGTTTTTGGTTGTATTGTTTTTGCTTTGATTGATTCACATAAGCGTAGTAATCTTGATAATAAATCAGCAAGATATATCTTTTGTTGGTTATTGTTCTCAATCTAAGGCATATAGGCTTTCTGATCCTATAAGTAGCAAGATTGTTGTCAGTAGAAATGTTGTTTTTAATGAAGAAGCAAGCTGGAATTGGCAGGCGAATTCAGAACGTGTTGAAGTTCAAACTCAAAGTGCAGCTCCACCAGTTGAGTTAGAACAAGCATCAGTTTCTAACACCTCAAGCCCATCATTGTCACCAAACTCATCGTCTTCAAGTTTGAGTTCCTCTAAAGCTTAAAATCCTCCACAACGGTTCAGACCGTTGCTGAAGTTTATGACTCTACCCAAGCTTTATTTGTTGCGGACCCAGCTAGTTTTGAAGAAGCAGCAACAAAAGAAGAATGGCGCAAAGCTATGGATGAAGAACTTGCAGCTATAAAGAAAAATGACACATGGGAGTTGGTGGGTCTTCCTAGTAACAAGAAAGCCATTGGAGTCAAGTGGGTCTTTCGAACAAAGTTTCTAGCTGATTGAAGCTTACAAATGTATAAAGCAAGGCTTGTGGTGAAGGGATATTCACAGCAACAAGGTATAGATTATAAAGAGACATTTTCTCCAGTTGCACGTTTTGATACTGTAAAGACAATTCTAGCATTGGCAGCACAAATGCATTGGATTGTTTTTCAGTTTGATGTTAAGTCTGCATTTCTGAATGGAGACCTACAAGAAGAAGTCTATGTCACTCAACCTGAAGGGTTCATTGTTGAAGGTGAAGAAGGGAAGGTGTACAAGCTGAAGAAGGCACTCTACGGGTTGAAGCAAGCTCCACGTGCATGGTATAGCAAGATAGACTCTTACTTTATTGCTAATGGATTTCAAAGGAGTAGGTATGAACCAAATCTTTATGTGAATAGAGCTGGTAAAACTGATATTCTCCTTGTTTGTCTTTATGTGGATGATATGATTTATGCGGGATCTTCTACTTCTCTCATTACTGAATTCAAATATTGCATGAAGCAAAAGTTTGAAATGTCTAATTTGGGGGAGTTACACTACTTTCTTGGGCTTGAAGTGGTGCAAGTTGAAGATGAAATATTTTTATCTCAACGGAAATATGCTACTGATTTACTTAAGAGGTTTAATATGTTCAATTGCAAGATTTCATCCACACCAATGAATTTGAATAAGAAGTTGCAGGTTGAAGATGGTACTGAACTAGTTGATGAGAAGAACTTCAGAAGTCTTATTGGAGGACTAATCTATTTGACTCACACACGGCCATATATTAGTTACTCAGTTGGAGTTGTTTCCAGGTTTATGCATCATCCGACAAAGCATCACTTTGGGACTGCGAAGAAGGTGTTGCATTATATTGCTGGAACTACAAGTTCTAGGCTGTGGTTATGGTCATGTTTCAGAGTTTAAATTGGTGGTTATTCAGATAGTGATTGGGCTGGATGTTTGGAGGATAGGAGAAACACCTCAGGTTATGTTTTTAATCTTGGATCAGCTGCAATTTGCTAGAGTTCTAAGAAGCAAGCGACAGTTGCTCTATCTACTTCAGAAGCTGAATTTGCAGCTGCTAGTGCATCCGCTTATCAAGTTGTTTGGTTAAGGAGGATTCTTGCTGATCCTGATCAGGAACAAGTTGAAGCAACTAAGATTTATTGTGACAATAAGGCTGTAATTTCTATGTCCAGAAATCCCACTCATCATGGAAGGACTAAACATATTGATATAAGAGTTTATTTCAATCGAGACCTTGTTGCTGAAAATTCTATCACTTTGGAGTACCGCAGTACTGATGAGCAAGTTGCCGACATTCTTACTCAGTCCCTTTCTCGAGACAAGCATGTTTACCTGAGATTGAAGCTTGGTGTGTGTGACTTTGAATCAAGGGGGAGTGTTAGAATGTGATTCAAAGTTTACCATGGAAGAGTTACCGTTGACTAAGTCTTGCTGCAAAAATTTGTTTTTATCTTTCTATTGCTTGATTTTATGTTTCCGTTGCTGATTTTAGGTATGGGATAATGCCAAGATTTTTTTCCTTCTGTTCAGTTGAGTTGTTATTCTGTAAAGCCTATAAAAAGGCATGTCATTTGATGAATAAATTGCAGTAAGAGAAACTATCATTCTGTCATACATCTTCATTTTATATTTCTTCAGAACCTAAGTTCTATTTTTCTCTTTTGGTCATATGATTCCATTCCAGCAGAATTTATATTTCTCAAAAAAAAAAAAAATGGGTACATGAAAATTGTGATCACGTTGGAACTCTTTTCTTGTTTTAACACATTTGGATTAAACACGCCATGGGATAATGAATATGAATCAAGATTGTTTCATGCACATCGGAACCCTGCTGGAACCATCCTCTGACAAGCATCAAATATCACAAGCGGGAAAATAGTCTTGTCATTAAAAGGAACGGTAATATTGTTAAAAGCTCCTGACTTGGCAGCACTGCAAATACAATTAGCTGCTTGGGCGTCAGAAAGGTCATAGAAAAGAGAGCAGCATGGATCTCTGGGTTCATAAGGGAAGAAATCTAGGAGACGTTTGCAAGGTTTAAAATCCCCTGGGCAAGTGCCTCCTTGAGGAGCAATTGGTGCCGGAGCCGGAGGTGGAGGAGCGATTGCCGATGTCGGAGGAGGCTGCGGTGGATGAAGGGTTACCGGTGTAGGGGGTGGCGGTGAAGGAGAAGTTACCAATTTAGGAGGCGGCGGAGGAAGGGTTATATTTGATGGAGGTGGTGGTGGAGTAGTTAAAGGTGCAGGAGGAGGAGGAAGAGTTACATTTGAAAGAGGTGGTGGAGGAGGAGGAGTTGAAGTTGCAGGTGGAGGTGGTGGAGTCAAATTTGGAAGAGGTGGTGGAGGAGGAGGAGTTGAAGGTGCAGAAGGAGGGGGAGTTACCGGAGGAGATGGAGGAGGAGAAGGAATTACAAGCGTAGGAGGTGTCTGCGGTTGTGTTATGGGCGTAGGATGAGGAGTTTCAAGCATAGGAGGTGGCGGCGGTTGTGTTATAGGTGTTGGAGGAGGAGTTACAAGTGCAGGAGGTGGCCGCGGTTGTGTTATGGGCGTAGGAGGAGGAGTTTCAAGCATAGGAGGTGGTGGCGGTTGTGTTATAGGCATAGGAGGAGGACTTTCAAGCATAGGAGGTGGCAGTGGTTGTGTTATAGGCGTAGGAGGAGGACTTTCAAGGGTAGGAGGTGGTGGCGTTTGTGTTATAGGCGTAGGAGGAGGAGTTTCAAGCGTAGGAGGTGGTGGGGGCTGTGTTAAAGGCGTAGGAGGAGGAGTTTCAAGTATAGGAGGTGGTGGCGGTTGTGTTATAGGTGTTGGCGGAGGAGTTACGAGCGTAGGAGGTAGCGGTGGTTGTGTTATAGGTGTTGGAGGAGGAGATACGCGTCTAGGAGGAGGCGGACGAGGATTTACAGGCTTAGGTGGTGGTTTAGATTTAGGTTTTGGAGGTGGTGGCTTAGATATAGGTTTCGGACGTGGCTTGGGAGATTTAGGTTTTGGAACCTGCGGCTTCGATTTAGGACTTGGAGCCGGTGGCTTGGGTGGTGTTGACTTAGGTTTAGGAGATGGTGGTTTGGGAGAGTCCTGTCCGGGAGTTTCAGGGAGACATTTGGGATGCTTATTATGTCCCGGAGGATTGGGTAAACATTTGTGCTTTGGCTTTGGTTCAGGCTTATTAGGCTTTTGTTTTGGCTTAGGTTCGGGCTTCGGCTTTTCCTTTGGCTTTGGTTCAGGAGGCTTAGGCTTTTCTTTTGGCTTTGGTTCTGGTTTTGGCTTTTCCTTTGGCTTTGTTTCTGGAGGCTTTGGCTTTTCTTTTTTGTCTAGTGTTGATTTCGACTTCGGGCAATCCTCACATTCACTAAGTACTAGAGTGAAGAAGAGAAGGTTTAGAAGTAAAAAAAGAGCTAAGTAAGCGATGGCCTTGGAAGCCATTTTTGGTTTATGAATTCTAAGAGATTTACTATGCTTTTATATAGTGAATCAGAGACGAAAGAACTTGTCACTCTTTTTCTTTTTTTCTTTTCCCCCTCCATTTGGCATTGTTGAAGGGTGTTCAAAACATTTTAAGGACAATAAACACAGATCCCTATGGCTTACACAAAGTTGCATGTGAGGATAATAAATGTAGATTGCCGTCTTCATCGATCGATGCCTCAGAACGTCATCAGGTGTAGACAACCATAAAAATAATGGATTTTTCCCTCCTTACAATGTATCCTGGAGAAGATAATATCGTCTAGTTTTATCAATGAAGGCATGGAAGCTAGCTAAATAAAGCAACAAGAAGGCAAAAGAGAACCTAAACCTTCCTAACCAAATGAACTAAAGAAGAACAAGGAGATTGGATTACACAATACACAAATTTCCTTAACTAAGTCGGCAGCTCGATTATTTTTTTAAGAATGTTGCGGTACTTTGTGAATCATGCATTAACAATCTTACGGAATCCCCGACAAGGCTTTTAAGGAGGCTTTAAAGACATAATGACTTCATCTCTTAATTAAGCATCCAAAGTTGAGAGATGTAGGCGAGAAGCCATGAAAAGTCGGTGAGATTTACAGTACTGAAGGTGTTTGGTGTTGCAAAATCAACCATTATATTAAGTTATCGGATCAAAGAGCATTAATGAATTTTTTCAGGAATCTAGCTGATTGATCGTCAAGCTTATGCAATGTTACCCATTTCTGACATTGAGTTTCTAAGATTATTATTTAGTTTTGATCTCGACCTTACTCAGGTTATCCCTCTTAAATTGGTATGATTCTAGTAATTGCTGCCATTTCCGTTCTGTAGAATAGAATCCGATCGCAACCCAATCTTCTATGTAGTTTTTTCGTCAGTGGTTAAGAATAGAACTGGTAATGTACTTCTGTTTATTGGAAAACAAAGTTCATACTCCCTCACATAAATTATGATTAATGTCTATTAAAATTTTTACTTTTGATACAGTTAGTAGTAAAAATATAATTAAAACCCAACAATCATTTGAGATTACAAAAAGTAGATAACGCTAGTAAAATGTCACATTGTTACTGCCATGACCTAATCGGTCCTTAAATTATCCAAACAAAAACAAATTAACAATAGAAAAGCAAGGGAATTCCTCCTTAAACCTTCATTTGCGTTTTTTAAAGCCATTGCTGGTCTCTAAATGGCTCTTGTAAAGCCACCATATGCAAAGGTTTAGTAGGTTTTTCGGGCTTTTGTCCTTAGAAAGGATCTTCATAGTAGTTGCGGGATCCCTTTATAGGGTTAAAGGGAATATGCTAAACTTAATTAATTCCTGATTCTAGTTATTAGAAAGAACGTTAAATTTGGAATTGATATATATTTAGTTAAAATACTAAAGATACCAAACCAATTTTAACTATTGACTTTGAACCATGATTTATCTCCAAATTGAAGAACATGCACCCCATATTAGTCCGGATTATAATTTCGGGAACTTGGTATCTCTCAAAATAATTATCCAGTTTTTTATTTCATTTTAGTATAATGTGCACTAAAAGTGAAAAATTTAACGTGAACAATCATTTTGAGAAGAAATGAGATACAACGAGGAAGATATATATCAATGAAGAATGTCAAAGGGTAGTATTCGCAACTTAGTAACTACATGTAAGGTGACACGATTAACTAGCCAGAGGTAGATAGACTGCTAGATTTCCCTATTAAGCGTAGCTCCTGAATCCACAACACTCGAAAGTTCTGAATTGTTTTGGAATTTGGATCATTTTAAGTTGTTGAAGTTTTCAAGGAGGGAGTGTTAACTTTTTAGAACTAAATTTCCTATTACATAAAGCATCATCATTCACCCTGAATAAACGCAAGTTATGGGCTGTCGGTGCAAAGAATGTACTCTTTCCATTCTTAAATATGAGTCATTTTAAGGTTTACAAATTTTTTTAAAAATATGGGTTGCTTTTATAAACTTGAGACACTTTTTATCTTTTTTTTTTAAATAAAATATTACCCTTATATTGGAAATAAAATAGTATTTAAAGATATTTTGTATGAGTTGCATCGATAAGTTAGTGATGATTGCATCGATAATATAAGGATGTTTTGTATTTTAAACATATTAGAATTTCATTGATATTGATGAAATAGTTAGAAAGATATATATTTTAGAATGAAAAGAATATAATTCACTTGGAGTCACGCAATATTACAAGGTTCCGATTTTATCAGATGTCCTGGCTTTAACTAGAACTAGAACTTTTCTATGTTTATATGTCAAAGTTATGCGGCTTTATAAAGTCTTTAACACAACGTAGAATTGATTCCAGTTGACTATAGTAGTACTATTATTTAATTCGTGTGCGTCTGTGTGACCAAATCTGGGAAACATCGAACTCAAACCCAATCGATTGGGACTTTTTATACGTATACTACAATATTTCTGTTTTCTTTACGTTTCTTTCAATTTCGTAAGGGGGGATACACTGAAGAGATTGGTCCTCTTATTATTATATTTTTTAAATGGTAAACGAAGCAAAATATGAAAGATGAGGAACAATAATTTAATTAGAAGTACAATCTCTCTAGACGATGTAATATAAATGAAAGTTATATCCAGGAAGGTAATTGGAACATCTCTGTTTCCTCCACTTTACATGTATATATCCAGGCAATTAGGGAGAAAAAACCAAGATTAATGTTTCATTCATGGACAATATTGAGCAGCCACTGAAAACGGTCTGTCACACCAAAAAAAGAGCGCCATGACAAATTGATCACTGTGCGGAATAGTGGTAATATTCTTGAAAGCTCCTAAGCTGTAGGCATTGCAGATGCATTTAGCTGCTTGAGTGTCGGAAAGGCCATAAAAAAGAGAGCAACATTCTTCTCGTTCTTCGATTATGTAATGAATGGTATCTACACATGGTTTAAAATCCTTGGGATTCCCTGGACAAGTGCCTTTAGCCCTAGGAGGAGGATTGACCGGTGTAGGAGGTGGCCGCCGAGGTGAAGGAGGCGGTGGTGAATGTCGCGGTGGCCGTGGAGATGGAGATTTATGTTTTGGAGTTTGAGGGTGGCATTTGTGTTTTGGCTTGTGCTTGTGCTTTGACTTTGAGCATTGATCACCACAAGCGCTAACTAGAGAGAAGAAGAGGAGGTTTAGAAGAAGAAATATAGCTAGGTAATTGGTGGCTTTGGAGGCCATTATGGTACCTTGTGAATACCATTTGTCTCAAGGGCAAAGATTTTATAGAGTGTGATCTACAGGGTCTTGTTTCCAATTGGTGTTAAGGAAATTCCATTTGTAAGTTTTTTTTACAAGGGGATATTGAGTTGGCAATATGGATTTCTAGTCAACTCAGTTGCATGTGATGAAATTGCTTGCACGTATATTTTATGGGATTGAGGGTACACCATTGACTAGTAATAATTGTTTTTGTTTTGTGTTAATAATAAATTCGATCAAATTATATTATTTATTAAATTCTGGTTGTAATTAATATTAATGAAACTAGTAGAGATCCATGCATCAAAATCAAATGCAATGCATTTTTTGTTGCACATGAACTATCTCTATGTTTAAATGCAGGAAAAAAACTGTGTATATCTTGTCTCCATATATACTCCAGAGCAGCTGTCCGTTTATCGGGTATGTATGCGTTGTTGTGTTTGCAGTGTACGCAAGGCCTATTACATCAATAAGAGTAAAGAAAATGGAGGAAAATAAAAAAGATCAAATTGGCCGTTAAACATTTTAAGTTAGTACTATTCAAGTTTTTCGATAACTTAAATCTTGGTTCCATTTAGTTACTATATACACTGAGGTTTTAGTTTCTATACGACTAGTCTAGGATTAAAATTTTAGCTTCATAGTATAGAGTATTAATTTAAGTCTACCTAGCACTGAATCTATATATCCCTCGTTAAATTATAAGTAACCAGCTTCATCTAGTCAGCCTGATCATAATTTACACAAGTTATTAGCTATTGACTACTATTTCTGTGTGTTAATTAATTCTGCAATACTATATAAAATATTGTGTTATTTTGCCGATTTATGAGCACTTGGAATTAATTGGTACTTTTGAATCCCAATATAGAACAAGAGAAATGATACAGAATTCCTAATTTCATTTGACACAAGAAAAGAATAAATAGTATTCCTTAAAAGCCTCTCTCTAAAAAGCCTCACTCGCCTTTCTCTAAAAAGACTTCTTCGCCAGAATTCTTCTACTCTCCTGATCGCCATAAACAGTGGTCGGGGAGCCTTCTTTTCTCCATTTTTCTTCTCTTTTTTCCACTTTCTTTTCAAAATAGGTATGGCCTCCTCCGTCCTCTGCTACAGTTGATCAGATCAGCCTCGCGCGACTTTCGGGATTCACCAAACGCCATAAACCTGATCACCGGATACCTCTGCTTGTGTTGAAAGTGCAGATCTACAGATCAACGGCCACCGCGGTGACACGACTGCCACCAACGATTCAGATGAACGACCTCCACTTGCTGCTGCAGAGCTGGTTACAACAAGACGGATCCATGGCGACGTCGCCAGATTTGTGAAAATCTGCAGATCCTTTCTGATCTGAAATCCAGCCGTCGCCGCTGTCTTCTGCTCTCTTCAGGCAGCCACCGAGCTTTCTGTCAAAAACCCCATATCATCCGGCCAGAGAAGCCCCGATCTGATGCCACTCAGATGCCGAGTGACGCGCCATTTACAACGCAGATCGTGCTTTTCATCTCTGGCCACAAATCCGGTTCTCCCACAACCGATTACGGATCCATCGTTTTTAAAAATCGATTCTCCGGTTCTCTGGTTCAAAAAGAGAAACCGGTCTCTTTGGTCTACAAATAAACTGTATCGGGTTATGGTTTAGTTAGGTGACAACTTGGAGGCAGCAATTCTCTATGTATCACTCACTGTTCGGGATTCTTAAATATGCCCACCAAATGCGGCAGTCCGTGAACAGTGA